AATATTTAACATTAATCGGAGCTTCAATGCCGCCAATAGCGAGTTCGCCTCGCAGCCGCATTGACCAAGAATCGTAGCAAATAACATGCTCACCCTCCACTCCACTCCACCCCTCTCTCTCACTCTCTCTCATTCTCTCTCTCTCTACTCGAAGTTACCCTTTATTTACACCGCTAAACGAGCTTTGCATATTTACTGTACTAGGAACAGACATTTTACGATATATTGAGAATTATTTGCAATATATTTGGCGAACGTAGGTGGCAGGAGCTGGATGTGGGGGGAGGCAGCAAAAGCAACAGCAACAGCAACAGCAGCAGCAGCAGCAACAAGGACGACAAATGTTCCAACGACAGCAGCAGTGGCAACAACAACACTAACAGCAGCAACAACAAGTGCAGTTTGGTGCAAATGCAGGCAGAAAGCTTCTAATTCCGGCACTGAAACCATAAGTCTTTACCGCATTGTACACACACACACACACACACTCAGCGTGTCTGTCTGCAAACTCTATCTTTGTGTTGACACGACAGCCCAGTAGGAAATGCACACATGCATGAGCTGGACAGAATAAGTTTGAATTAGTGAATTAGCAGAAAAAGAAGGGTTTATTAAAAAGCAACTTTAATCAAAGCGAAAACTGGAAAAGAGCTCTGATTATCTATAGAAATTTTTAAAGCCAATGAAACCTTTTATTTTTATTGCTATCTAATTAAATCTATGTTGTCTGCTTATAATACTATAGCCCTCATTAAATTGAATTATTTTAAAAGTGTACTCCATTTTTATTTAAATAAATATTAAAGAAACAATCAATGAGTTTAGCATGCTATTATCATGCATTATTTTGCAACTGGGCTACTTGCTAGCTCGGAGAAGACTGTTTGGGACTGCAGCAGAAGCCGCTTAATAAGTTAAATTCGATACACAAGTTTTGCATACACAATAAATACCGAAAACTTATTTTTCTGTTTTGCAAAGATTTTGTTTAATTCACGTAAATTTGCATAAGATACAATTGCGAATCCGGCCCTGCAGTCTCTCTGCAGTCTCTAAATTTGTGCGAGAATTGAGTCAAAGTTCAGCAGCAACCAAAAAAATAATTTGGAAAATACAATAAAAAAAAAAACGTCGTAGAGTTTATTGCCTTTGGCCTGGATTGTAGCCGGGTCTAAATTTGAATTCAGCTCAAATTGAAAGTTAGTAAAAGCAACCAGCAAACACACACACACACACAAACACACAGCAATACACAACTGCTGCCTTTAGCCCTCTACTCAACCCGCTCACACTCACTAGTCGATGTTTATGTCTTTTCGAATGCAGCTCAGCTTTAATTTAAATGGATTTCTCTGCCAGCTACAATGGCAGACATATGGCAGCATTCGCAATTTCCATTGGAGTGCCCAGCGCCAAGGAGAGAGAGTGGGGCGGAAAGGGGATGACTCCCGACTCCCGACTGCCGGCGCCCGATGGGCGAATGTCGACTGGCGACTGGCGACTGGCGAGTCCTGTAACTGCTGAGGATTGATTGTGCTTGTTGATATTTTGTCAAATAACGCAAATAAATACACAATTACACACTCAAGTGAGTCCATGGGAGGGCAGCAGCAACGAGTTGAAATTTGTGGGGTTACATGTGGCAGGTCTCTGTGCCGCCCCGTTCTCACCTCTTGCTGCCTGCCATGACCCTCATGCTGCTGCAACTGCTGCTACTGGCTGGACGCACCGGCTGGCCGCTCTCTCTCTCTCTCTCTCTCTCTGTTATCCTTGTTTAAAGGATTTTCATTTGTTTAAATGTGCTTTATCGAAAATGGCCAAATGGTAGCGGCGTGAAATTTATTCTAGCCACACAGTGGTGCAAAACCAATTGATTTTTATCTGGCCTTGCATAATATGACAGCTTCTTGCTACATTTATTGTATGTAAAAACCAAAAACTGAATAAAAAAACGATTTACTTTTCTTCTCTACAAATTCCTCATTCATTACATATAATTTCTAAGTATTGTATTTGCTCTAAATATCTATTATTATAAAAGTAACAAGATATATTTAACTAAATCGAATATTGAGTCAAGTTTATTTCTTCTGAGGAAAAAATGATAAATACTTGTTCAACAAATTTAATAAGTTTGCCAAGCTTTTCAACCACTGTGCGGCGACATTTGACTTTGTCGTTGTTGCTGCTACTGTTATTGTTGTTGTTGTTGCTGCTTTTTTCGCCACACGCCCGTAAATTCCAATGTAAAATGTTGCATTTATCTTGTAAAAATAATAAATCCAGCAAAGGGACTTTGCTCTCTCACGCTTGGCAGCACACAAACACATGAGCGCTGCTTGGCCGGTGGCATGTGGCAAGTGTGTATGGAAGGGGAATGGGGTATGGCGAATGACAATTGTTAGCTAATAGCCTAATGGCAAGAGAAGCGTACATTTAGCTAATTTTATAAGCCATCAAAGTATCCGGCATTTAACCCTTGACTGGGCAGATGTCACAGTTGCGGGGCTTGTGCCTCAACGGGGGTGTGAGAGGGGTGTAGATGAAAAAAACAAAATAAAAAAATGACAACACACACTGCCATTAATTTAATTTATTTATTGGCTGTTGTTTCATTGGCGCAAATCCCGAACGCTCTGCGATAAATTTAGTCAAATGTGAAAATTGTGTGTGCAGTTTACACACACACACGAACACACACACATACACACACACACACACACACACACACACATACACATACAGACACACAAGTACAGCTCGTTTGTCAAGCGAGGATTTACATTATAAAATATGGCCTGGTATGCGCACCGAATATGGAAATGCAGTTGAACAACAAACAAACTCGCCAAAGAGTTTGCAATTTATTTTAAAATAAAAGTATCTAGTGTGACAAATAGTGTGAGATATGTTTTTGCGCACTGCAGCCAAAAGCAGCCAACACAGCCAAAGCAGCCAAAGCAGCCAACACATCCAGCCCAGCCTCCAGTTACGCCCACCACCCCCCAGGCTAACGCTAAAATGCGACATGTGACGCGGCGCTGCTGATTTATTTGCATACAAAAGCGCAGACGTGCATAAAAAATACCAAATGCAACAACAACAACAGCAACAAAGACACAAATAACTGCACATGTAACGCCCATTTTTAACGCCAGCTTTGATGGAGCTGAGGGGTTGCTGTCGACCGCTGCCAATTCGTGGCGGGGATGCGCCATTTGAGAGTCAATAAAAAATACATTTTAAATCAAAAATCAAAATGCACCGTGGATGGGGCAAAATATTTCGATTATTGTTGCACATTTTTTTTTTTTAATGTGCATACAATTTTTTTATTTAAGCTTAATTTTATTTTTATGCAGTTCGTCCATTAAAAAATGGATGAAGGATAAAGTTGCACAGAATGTTATTAGAGGCAGGAGGAAGCATATCGCTCCCCTTAAGATATATATATATTCTTGAGCAGACTATTTAATTGGCAGAATTCAGGGTATTTGCTAGTCTCATATGATCCATAGAAATTGCAACGAATAAATTTATGAAAAATAATTGAGATAATTTTATTCTGTCAGTTAGTTTGCGGACTGAGTAGGGAGCCCCTGCTCAACAGCTGATGATTTGTAGACTTTAACAATGTGGCTTAATCCCCAACTAACTATAATTTAGTAAAACTATAATATAGTACAAACAATAACAATTTGCAAGCAAACGCTACTGCTTAACAACTTATCTCAGAGCAGCTTGCAAATTATGCCAAACTCAAGTATCTATCTACAAGTTTGCCTAGGAGGCTGGGAGGCTGCTCAAGTGCCACCCACACTTGAGTTTGCTCCCAACCCGCAAGTGGCAACCTTTATTTAGTCCTCGGTTGATGGTGCTGCCCCAACTGCCCCAACTCCGTTGGCAATTCATCATTTGGCGCCATTTTGCGTAGCGTCAAGTTGCATTTAGTTGTTATTTATGCAAATTTGGCATGTTTCAACTTTTCGCCAAGTGCGTCGAGTCGTTTTCGATTATTTAAAACTTTGGGCGAAATCTAGTAGGGTATATGGGATAGGGGAGGAGGGAGGGAAGGAGGAAGTGAGGGCGTTCCTTTAATGCGCGCACCTGACGCGCTTGAATGTCTTACTGCCAGCTCCTTGGCAGCACCTGGATTACGGATTACGGATTACGGCTGAAACTGTACCGTGTACTACGGCGTGCTGTGCGCATAATTTCGTTCGCTGCTGTTAAGACAAATAAATTGTAGACGGCTAAAGTTATTAGATTAGCATTAGGGACGAGGCAATGTGCAGAGTGTGTGTGTGCGTGTGCTAAGCTTAAAATTATGATTTACCCGGGTTATTTACATGCATATAGAGGAACTAGAGGATGCCGCCAAGTTTGCCAAATTTATGAAAAAGTTACCGCACTTTTGGCAGTCATCTGCTTTTTATAGTGCTCCACCCCACCAAAGGGGGTGGATATTAATAGCTAACCAGGTGAATATTTTAAATTTAAAGGGAGCCTTGACAGTGTCGCAACACGAATTTATCATTTTTATTTCTTCAATAACATTTGTGGAAATTTTCAATCAACAATTCATGTCATCATCATAAATTCGAAGAACCATAACACATTTTAAATAAAACAATTATTTATTTTGTGCATAATTTTAATATAAAATGTAACTTAATTTAATATACAATTTATGATTTTTCTGTAAATTACGGCTATTATTTTTCTTTAAAGAAAATAAATAAACAAATATTTTCATTATATTTAAATACAATCAAAAAACATAATTAACTGTTTTAATTTCTGTGTTAATCTAATTTTAACATTATCTAAATTATGATTTAAATTCGCATCAGAAATATTATCTTATACTTTAATAACAATTAACATGTTTTGGCTATTATTTAAATATTTAGTTACTTTAATACTAACACACAGAAACTTTGAGGCATTTATTTAATTTTGGACACTCTCATTTAATTGGTTTCTCTTTTGTTTTTCAGGTAAGAGATACTCAGAATCTCTTGCGGGATCACTTCTACCAGACTGGCTAGGTAAGTGCATTTTCCTCAATATTATTTTGTTAAGCTTATCCTTTACGAATATATTTTCTTTTGATTTTTGTCGATAAATGTTTTAATTTTGTTCTTTTTAATTGTTTTTTTTTTTTCACAATTATAAGCAATATTATTTTTATTTTTAAAATTACTTATAAGTTGCTCTCCATGGTATGACGCTCAGAAATATTTGAATTTTCTTTTCTAGAGTGTCCCAAATATCCAAATCCCAAATTGAATCGAAACTCTAAGCAGTTATCCACCAAAAAGAGAAGATAATAATAAGATCTGAAACACTTGTAACCTGTGAAACCCCGATCCATATTTCTTGAACCCATCAAAAATGCTTCTTCGATTTAAGTTTTTGGTTTTGAATTTTGTTGTTATTGTTGCCGTTGTTGTTGTTGTTGTTATTGTTGTTTATTGCCGCATATTGCATCCTCTTCATTTGGTGTGTCCAGTGTGTCAGTCAAAGGAGCGCGTCCCACAGTCCCCCAAGAGGTAAACCCAAAATATACTCAATTACCAATAAATTGTAAATGTTGTGTGCATTTGCCCATTTTCAATACTTACGTATATCTATCTCAATATGTGCATATGTATGTATATATATGTATATATATATACACTGTAAATAAAGTTTAGCATGTGCATGCCCCAAGACACACAGAGAGAGCCAGAAGGGAAGCGAGAATTTACTGCAAAGGTGTTTGCGATATGAATCCAACAATATAATATGTGAAATTATCAGCTCATAAAACTTGCCAAATAATTGGCAATTATTCAGTTTGTCAACCAGTACACAAACACACACACACACACACATTACACACACATCCACATTTGCAGACGATTGCTCAAAAGGTTTTCTTTGCCGAACAATTAAAGCCGCCCACAAAGCGGGCGAATTTTCTCGTACTTTGGAAAAGTATCATTTGGCACGCAAAGAAAAGCGAGTGAGAAAATTGGATAGAACCCGACCACAATTTACAAAGCGTATCATTTTGTTAGCAATTTTTCAGCATGCTGCACTTTACAGTAAACGCTCAAAGGCACGCAGCTGCCATTGCACCACCCAAAACCCACCCAACCACCACTCGCATGTAAACCACAGCACTCATATGTATAGTATATATATAAGCCAGGCCAGCCAGTATCCAATTAAGCGCAATTGAGATAACAACACTCGAGTTCAAATTGTTAATTGTTGCTTTTAGTTGTGTTAACCAGGCCAAAAGTGTTTTTATGTCAGTGTCAGGCGGATGCTTTATTTATATTTTTAGTTTTTTATTTTTTTATTTCTGGGATTGGCCACCCTTGGAATATGCAACCTTTGCAGTTTTGCGCTTGTCTAAATGTAGTTTGTTTATTGGCAATTTATACAAACGCATAAATTACCCACACACACATTACTGAGATGCTCGCAAGAAAAACATAAACAAACTTTGCTCACTAAATGCCACTTGCCAATCGTAATCAATTCTCATGTGGTGTCTGGTGTGTGCGAGTGTGTGCGAGTGTGTGTGCGAGTGTGTCTATAAAAAAGGGACCCAAAATACACTCAAAGACTGTCGCCGACAGACAGACAAAACAGTCAACTCAAGTCAGCATCCGCATTCATGTGTATCTTTGGCACTGGATATGTATCTGTATCTGTATCTGTAGCTGTATCTGTATCTGCAACCCCGCAAACGAGATGAGGCGCATAAATATTTATCTGAATTGTTGAAATCTTCAAATGCAGAAACGTAAAATCCATTAGAAAATTAATAAAGAGCCCATAGAAATATACTTGCACACTGCTATACATATATATCTGTATATATATATCTGTATATCTGTATATAAGTGCGGTTTCAATTGAAAGATTGGCTGAGCGTGAAGATTGTGGCTTGAAGGGAGGCTAATATAATGAAAGTAAATTGATTAAAATGATTGTCTGTCTGGATAATGTTACGATTTACATTCACTTGAGCAGACAAACCGTTTCAGATATGTAAGCTAAGATATTGTATATAAAATACGTTAATTGCATGCGCTTTTCTACAATAATACAATAATACAAGAATACCATAACTATGTACATAAATATGTGTTTTATATCAATAATAATCTATTAGTACAAAATACATAATCGCAAAATCAACATCAGATTTAATTGTAGTAAACACTTGCATAAGTAAACAAAAATTTCAAAAAGGCATTTAACTAATTTAGACGACTCTAAAGTGGTTTTCTTTTATCTTATGCATAATATATATATATGTATGTATAAACAATGATATATATAATCAGACCAGTTGTAATCTATACACACATAATTATAACATACAGCAATTTAATAGAAGATATTATCCATTCTCAAGTCTATGAAACACATAGAAAGTGAAGTATTTAAATTTACCCGTATATATTTTGCTGTTTTACATACAATCGGTGTATAATTTTAATTAATTAGCTATATACCAATTAAGTCAGTTAATAACGCCTTAAACTTGCTTACAGTGGAAGTCTATGGAAAAATTGAAAATTAAGCAAACCTTAAAATCAACATGACAATCTGCCAGTGGTATTTATAATCTCCCAGATATAATCAATGTATTGGTATATTATCACGTGATCGAATTATTTGAGGTCTCGTGGCCATATGTTCACACACACACACACACACACACACACACACATAGACAGACACTCGTTTGGCAACTGTAAGTTGTATTCGTAATTATAACAATGATGCTATTTATAAAGCTGGACGAGGAAGAGCTGCGTGGAGCAAATGTCTCGTATCGTCGACCCGTCGGTAGAGTGGCAGGGGCAGGGGCAGGGGCAGCAATTCACAATAAGAGGCATAATAATGTGCCATAAACTATCTAAATTTGTTGAATTGTTGATAAACTTTGGCGCCACTTTGCGGCAAAAGCAAAACAAAACCAAAAACAAAAAGACACGAAAGAAAAAACATGAAACAAAGCAATTGTTGAGGCGCTCAGTTACACCCCGTTCCCCCGTCCCCCTACCCGTACCCCTCCCAGTCCACATCTCTGTTCCTGGCCATAGCTTTGAAGTGGAAAATCTAATGAACGTGTGCCAAATTGTTCAATGTTTTCTTTCTGGGTTTTTTTTTGTTTTAGGTAATTTTTGTGGCATAAAAAGTTGTTCTACAATTAAAAAGTTTCGTTTGGACTACATGGCTAAGGTTCCATTAGGAAACTTATCACATTTCCGGTAAAATTTGCTTTTCCTTGTTTGTTACGAAAGCAATTTACAAAATTATCAGTTCGCTTGACATTTAACATTTGCAGGTGGAACAACAACTGGCTGCATGTCTCATTCAATTGTCGACAATCATGCTGTCATTGTGTGTGTGTGTGAGTGTGTGTGTGTGTGTGTGTGTGTGTGTGAGTGTGTGTATCTGTGTGTGACTGTGCACTTCTGTATCTAGCACACACACATGTCATAGTCCGCATCCATTTAATTGCCCCTCGGAGAAGCTTTTGCAAATTAGTTAATTGGCGGCCAGTTTATTGTGGACGCTCTAAGTGGCAAGTACTTCCCTAAAAGACAATCTAAACGAGCTCACATTGCAACCACACACATATTTCACTTAAGCATGTGTGAATTACTCAGATATCGCCGTCTCGTGAAGGTGAATTTTGTCCAGTGTATATTGGGAAATGGTGTTAGAGTATTCATTCTTCGCAGATGCTGTTAGCAACTCGACAATTTTTGGTCAGCTACTTATTTGTCTGTACACATTTATTTTTTGAAATTTGCATCTTTAATTATTGTCTTTTCATATTTGCTTAGTCACTAATCGCTATTAAGCACATATTTTATAATTTTTATATTGCAAGCTATAAGAAACAAGACCCCTACAAAGTTGAGGCACATGCATTACTGAGCTTAGAATAAGCATTATTTTCAGGGGAGAGTTTTGAGCTCAACGCTGCATTTGAAAACTCTTCTTAAGCATTGAGCTCTCTTCCCGAAAATTAAAAGTAATAAGGAATGAGCTCTCAATAAGCATGAGTTTCAGTAGAGATATTTATAATCTACTACACATTTTTCACCTCTTGTTGAGACTTCAGCTCGTATCTTAATCAAACCGAAAATTAAATGTATGCCAAGAACTTAAATTATTTATTTTGCTCTACAAAACAGATGACTTCCTCAGCAGATTTGCATACCGATAAAACTGAGGCACATCCACTAATGAGCTCAAAATAAACCAAATTTTTAAGAGATGTTTATAAAAATCTACGAGACATTTTCAGCTCTTGGTGAGCCTTTATCAAATCATAAATTCAATTTGGGTCAAGGACTTGAAAGATATATATTTTGTTCTACAAAAAGTTTGCTTCCTTAACACTAACTATAATATAGAGTACATTCAATATTCGACTCTGCAAAATGTTAGAAATTTTAAATATATTTTGTTTTATGTATTTATAATTTTTGACAACTTTAGCTTGTTATTGAACTTTGGCAGTTTGATAAACGGCTTTGAATTTCAATGAATGAATGAATCGCTTAAGCCAGCAACCATTTAGCATTAACAAAATTATACAAAATACATTCACATTTATACTTATATATATATATATACATATATATATATATATGTGTGTGTGTGTATGTGTATCTCTAATGATAACAAAGAGAGCGAAAAAAAACGTTGTCTACCTGTGCGTTGGGCGGTTTTTTGAAGAAGCCGCCGTTAACGGCGTCCTTTTATTGATTTTTGTACGCCATTAAATTTTGCACAGTTACCCATATTTTCCGCCATTTGCCGTTTGCTGCGTACTAACCCCCAAAACAGTTGAGCAGCCGCAACAAACCTACGGCCGCCACCGCCGCTGCCACCGCCCCCGCCCCTGGCTGCAGCAGAGGCAATGTGGCAGATATTTTTCTTTCTTGCCAGCTCAGCAGATGAATGCGTGTAATTTTCGGTTTGATTTATGCCCGCTGACCCCGCTCCCGGCAACACATTCGCA